GACACGGCACATCTGAATATTTCCTGCATGCTAAACAGACCATTGTAAGCCGTTTCCTCTAGGCTAGATTGTTATAAATGCTGTTTATGATCCTGCTATGACAACTGTGAAGGACATGGCAAAGAATTTATCACAGGATTATTCATCCACCAGCAGAATACCTAATAAGATTCTAAATGACCCAAGATGATAATAAGATCTAGCTTGTAGCAATAAGGTATTAATAAACTGCTTTTTTTCAATAAGAAAGAATCCTGGCATCATTACCCTGACATATTTGTTTTGCTTATATTTTGCTGGCAAAATAAGTCTGCCGGGTTATAGAACAGATTTATAAAACCCCCTGATGTATGAAAAATACAACACATGTGAAGTGGAACTCATAGGTTAAAGTCAAGAGCCCCATGTTTGCATATGCCATCACAAAGCCAGACTTCCAAGTCATAGATTCTAATTGTTCCATGCCATTTGCCTTTGTATTTTGAAATTATATATAGAATAGTATATTCTGTCCACTGTTGAGTACAAGGCCATAATTCAGATGAAGAACTTTTGTTTAAAATCACCAAGCAGCAGAAAGTGTCATTTAGGTGAGTAATGGATGACACTGAAATGCTAAATTCAAACTGAAGCCTGAGATTCTGTCACTTGGCCTTGTTGAAATATAGTTCACTATTCTAACCCACCCTTAAGGTTATTAAAAGGATTCTTTGCATTATGACCAAGCACATTCCTACCAGGGCAAGTGGTTTAGCTAAAGAAAAGTGAAACACAAACACTTCGAAGTAGGAGAGAAAGTTGAACAGCCAACTCCTAAGAGGCCTCCCACCTATTGGAACCAGAAAAAGGTACCCACATAAAGATCCAAATAGCGTCCCTTGGTATCCTGAATGTAAGAGGAAGTAGAGCCCTCAGATTTCTGGGCCCACATCACCTTCAATTTGCAAACCTCTGTCACAGTGAAAAAGTCCTTGGGTCTGAGAATGCAAGTTATCATGAAGAGTACAGTGGAAGAAATCTTTATTTTCCTGCCAATCAAATTACATTTTGTCTTTTCTTCCCACTTTGGATAATAATATCTTAATTACATGTAAAGATAATTTTTAACATTCATTTAAAAATATTTTTGAGTTCCAATTTTTTTTCCCTCCTTTCCCTCCCCTCTTCCTAAAATAGCAAGCAATTTGATATAGGTTATCCACATGTAATCCTGTAAAATATATTTCCATATTAGTCATGTTGTGAAAGAAGAAACATACCACAGGGAAAAAACACACAAAAAATAAAGAAAGTAAAAATAGTATTCTTTGATCTGCAGTCAGACTCCCATCAGTTCTTTCTCTGGATGTGGATAGCATTTTCCATCATGAGTCCTTTGGAATTGTCTTGCGTCATTGCATTGCTGGGAAGAGCTAAGTCATTCCGAGTTGATCATCACACCATGCTGCTGTTAATGTGGGCAATGTTCTCCTGGTTCTACTGATTTCACTTTGCATCAGTTCATGTATCCCATTTTATCTCAGAGAGGTTGTTTTGTGTGATATTCCTTTTGGGATCAGATACATTAGTATGAAAACTAGTTAATAAACTTGAAAAGTCCACCCATCTAGTGGGTAGGATTTAGGGTGGTGTGAGTTGTTGACCAAAGCTATTTTGGCTTGAGATGGGTGCTTAGTTCATGTAATCCTAACTTATACTCCTTTTGTGGGTGTTACACAAATAAAACAGACTTTTCAATCATTATATTTCAGAATACTGTCAATAATAATAGCTGTCATTCACACAGCACTTTGAGGTTTGCAATGTATGTTACCTATATCTCATTGAGACCTCACAGCAACACTATGAATTCAGTATTGCAGGTATCAATGCCCCCATTTTACAAGTGAGAAAACTGAGTTTTAGGAAGGTAATCAGTGGGACCAGGGAAACACAGCTAATAAGTGCTGGAGGTAAAATTTGAGCATAGGTCTTCTTGACTCTAGGTCTACCACTCTAATCACTTCCCTTTTAAGCATAGCCTCTCAACACTTTCTTCTTTTAATTTTTTTATATAAGCAAAAGAAATAGAACCTGTATTTATTTTATTTTACGTTATTTGATAATTAAAATTTTTATTTCCATTTTATTTTATACCACCTACATTTTGCAATATATTCCTCACTACCCTCTCTCACATAGAGTCAATGTTCGTAAGAAAGAATTTTAAAAAGAGAAAAAAATACGGTTAGCAAAATTAACCAAGAAATCAACCATCCTAGAGTTTCATGGCTATGCAAAAGAGGGAGAGAGATGCATTCTTATATCTCTTCTTTGGGACCAAACTTGCTCATTGTGATCTCACCTCATTCAATTTCATTTTTATTGTTCTTTCTATGTATGTGGTTTTAGCTATTGTGCGTATTGTTTTCCTAATTTGGCTTACTTCACATTCCATTAGTTTATACATGTCTTTCTATCCTTCATATTCGTCACTTCTTGCAGCATAGCAATATTCCATTTTATTCATGTACCAATTTCTCTAGTCATCCTTCAATCAAAGAGGGTTATCTACTTTGTTTCCACTTTTTTGCTACTACAAAAATTGTTGCTATGAATATCTTGGTATATATGGAATCGTTCTTTTTATTGCTGATCTCCTTGGGAGTCTATAACTAGCAGTAGGATCTCTGGGTCAAAGGGTATGTATATTTTAGTCACTTTGTTAGAATAGTTTCAATTTCAGAATTTGTTTTTAACTCCAACACCTTAACTTTGTCCCTGCAAATTATAATTCTTGATAAAGAAAATTACTTGCTATATTCTCTTAACTAGATACTCCATTTTACATATCTCAAATATTTAGAATCAATAAGAATTTATTAAACACTTAACTATGTTATGAAGACAAAAAGAAAGGCAAAAATGGTCCCTTCCCCAATGAAGATGACATTGTAACGGAGACATAAATACATACAGACAATATTCCTGCAGAAAAATGGATGGTTACTTTACAAGGGAAGATTTTAACAGCTAGTAAAACTAGGAAAGACTTCCTGCATGAGATGGTCTTTGGACTGAGTCTTGAAAGAAACTAGAAGGTGGAGGCAACAAGGAGAGCATTCTAGGCAAGTGGGAACAGTTAGTGCAAACAGTCAGTAATGAGAGATGGAGTGCCATGTGTGAGAAAAAGTAAGTAGGGAAGTTTACCTGGATTGTTATAAATGTGCAGAAGGGAATATTATGTAAAAAGAACGGGAAAGTATGAGAAGCCAGGATGGGAAGAGCTTTAAATAACAAACAAAAGGCTTCATTTTTGATCCTGGAGATAACAATAGCACCTACCTCCCAGGGTTGTTGTGAGGATAAAATAAGGTAATATCTGCAAAACATTTTGCAAATGTTAAAGATTTCTATAAATGCTAGCTATCATTACCATTAACAATAATCCACTAAAGTTTATTTACAATGAGGTAATGAAAGGTCTAAGAAAATAACTCTCTAAATTCTAAGGATTATAATTACTTGTGTAGGACAACTAATGTCCCTTCTCCTATGTGGGAAACTCAAATCCTTTGTGCTAGTTGAAAAAAGACTGATCAGGACCTTGAACAGCACCCCATGGCTCAAGCTTAATTGAGGAAACAATTCTCATCACAGGATCATAATATAAGAAGCTTTAAGAGCATTTTAAAGCTTATTATTTTCAGTTCATATCTGAAGTAAGAAGCTCTTGACAAAGAAAAATGAGTGTTATCTCTTGTTTTCATACAAACTTCCGTTAACATTTAGCCCTTTCTGCAAGAAAACAATTGTACATCATCTCATAGGGTTGTAGAGTTATAGATTTTAGGCTGGAAGGAGCTATGGAGGCAATCAAATACAACCATCTTATTTTACAAATGAGGAAACTGAGGCATAGACAGGTTAAAATGGCTTGTTCAAAGTCATACTATTGTAAGCATTTGTGGCAGGATTTGAACACGTATATCCCTGACTCCTTGAGGCAATGCAATACAATATATCTTCATGTGGACTTGGAAGGCCTCTATTTCTAAATTTCTACAGCTAGATTGTGGGCCATATGAAAACAGCATTGTGCATTGCACCTTTTTATGGGTGCTAAATGGGTTATAGGCTGGAATGACATATGACTTGCCTCCCTTCATACAGGCTCATTTAAAATACTATGGTCAAGCTAAGTATCCCTACCCATATAGTCATATTAAGGGAAGGCTATAGGTCACTGAAGGATGATTCATTAGCCCCATGGGAAAGGGTGAAGATGGGAATATGTCTGACAGTGGAGTAAGAAGAGAAAACCGGCACCAGTTCTCATGCTACAAGGATTATTACAGAGGCAGCTTACTTTTGCAGTGAAGCTACTATGATAAATAATTATGACTAGAACCACCTTATTGTAAAAGGAAACCATCTTTTACAATAGATACTTGGAATTAAATGCAGACAAAGCAATACCGGGGTCTTAGAAATAGATGAAAGCAGTAGCCAAATCCTTTAAAAATAAATCATTACTCAAAAAATATTTACCAAGTATCTACTTTGGTTCAGGGCACTGTGTTACATGCTGTGGAGGATATAAAAATATAAAACATAGACCTTGCATGCTTAAGGACCTTAGAGCCAATCTCATGGAACAAGTATAAACATGTAAAAAAGAGAACTTTTGTGTCTATGGTGCATCAGATGAACCATACAAAGAGTGTTAGAGGAAGCAGAGAACATTGTGGGATGGGGCGGGTGAACAGGGAAGAAACCTGGTGGAGTGAGAACTTCAGCTTGTCCTTGATAGAAGACAAGTGTCACAAAGTGGGAAAAGAAAAGAAAGAATATTCCAGGCTTTATTTTTTAATAAAGAAAAGCACACTTTCCCCCCGAGATCTTTATCTATAGGTCAATAGATATGACTCGGTGGAATACAGTCATGTACACACAGAATTTTTGGTGTCTGTTGTTTTTGTTTCTGTTGTCATCTTTTACCTTTCCTCTGCCCTCCCCAGGGTCTGTTCTTCTGTGGAAATGAAATCAAGCTGTGTGAACCGCGGGAAGATATCTTTGTACAGCATGCACCACATGGCTCCAAAACCCTGGCTTGCTGATTGTTTCCTTAGGGCAGGGAATGATGGTGAAGAAAGCAATTGGGAATGCTCCCAGGGCATTTCAACTGTAGCTACTAAAAGAAGAACAAAACCAAAACTTGTGCCAGAGTTCTTTTAAAAGCTTAATTTAATGAACTAGAAGACACTGTGAAAAGGAAGTATCCTCACTGTATTTTGGAAATTCACCCCTGGTTCTTCAAACTGAGTATAAAAATACCTATTTAACCTTACTCTTAGGGTAGCTATACAGACTAAATGAGAGGCCAAATTGAAAATTAAATGATATATAAATACTATTGCTTATTATTTTTATTATATTGATCACCACTATGTAGGCTGTAGTTTCCTTATCTGATAATTTAGACTAGGTGCCTTCCAGATCTAAATGTACAATCCTATGGTCTGTATGGATAATATTTATGTCAGAGTTGATGGAACTTGGTGGCAATGCATCCTCCCAATTCACCATAGAATTTTGTGATGCTAGTTTCTGTTGATGTCTCACACTCAGCCATGCTGGACCAATACCCTACTTCAGCACTTTTTCCAAAAAGAGACCCCTTGTTTAATCAATGTGGGGATCCTTGAGAACTCTTAGGTAATTTTAACCTCAGGCCTCTCATAACGTGCCCCTTTTTAAAAAATAATATTTTACCCCAAATTACATGAAAAAACAATTCTAAATGTTCATTGTTTCTTTTTAAAGTTTTGAGTTCCAAATTCTGTCCCTCTCTCCAACCTCTCCCTTTAATGACCTGGTAAACAATCTCATATAAGCTATATACATGTGATCAATGACGTATTACTTTTAATGGGTCAGGTTACAACTAGTGAGTATTACTAAGATAATTTGTGAAAGAATTTGCCATCCACTCCTAGGCTTCCTTTTGTAGGTGATTTAAGATTTCCATAGGTTTTTAATATGGCAGAGGCAGTAACATTAAGTGTATAGAACCAGCCATGGAGTCAAGAAAACCTGGATTCAAGCTCCTCCTTGAATACATACTGGCTGTGTGATGTTGGGTACATCCCTTAACATCTCAGTATTATAGCCAGCTTTTTAAGAATTAAATTACAGAGAAGGTGGCTATATCAGTAGGGAGAATTTCTTCATCCGAGGATAAAATGATATCACAGCTCCAGGACCTATTCCTATTTAATAAGGAACCATGAGATCTCTTGTCGGTGAGAGCTGAAGGTCCTAAAGTTGAGAAATCTTTCAAGGCCTTGACAAATATCTCTGAGTAGATGTACTTTTTAAAACTCCCAAGACTCAATGACCTGCATGTATAAGCAGATGATTTTCTTCTGTACTTGGAAGCAACCTCAGCTTTGATAATAGTCTAGGCATTTAAACAGACTCAGGAAGGCTGGCAAAAGTGGAAATGTCAAACTTTATTTCTTTTTAATGATGTGTGTCATCCAAATAGCAATGCCATCAATAGGGGATGTTGTGTTTTTGTTATTTTTTCCCCTTCAACTCTCAGATGCCTTTTAACATATGTAAAAATATTTATATAGTATTTAAGTTCCACAACATTAATGGTACAGACACACTCTTCTGAGCTCTTCCTCTCGGTAATATCATATTTAACTCAAAAGAAGTCACAGGCATATTGGGGGCAGATAGTAGGTACAAATCTGACAAAAAGCTAATGAGCTCTCCTGTGATTATCAGTGAGTACTGTGACTCATTAAATCTCATTTCCTGGGAAAGTCCACATAGGGAGAAGAAATTATCTGGAATAAAGGCCTGAAAACCTAATGCAGTCAGATTTATGGGCATCTACATAGCGGCCACATGATAATCAGTGCAAATAGTAAAATGTTTTAATGAGGTTCTCTGAAATATTTAATGGGGTATTTTATTTAATTTTTTTTTAAGTTTTGCTATTTTCAGTAAGAAAGTGGCACCACAGCAATGAGTAAGGGTCTTAAAACCAAGTAGGGTTGTTCTTTATACTATTTGGACTTAAGGTGTTCCCCTCATCCCCAGCATAATATATTGTTACGGGTATTAGAATTGTCATTGATATTCATGCCTGTGATCAAATGAGGTCAGGATTAGACTAAGTCATAAAGACTCTTCCTTTTGGTCCAAAGGTATATAGGTCTCTGCTTAAGATGCAGTTCTCTTCAAAGCTTCTTGTAGTAAATCATTACTTATTCTGAGATTTTTCCCCTACTCCCAGGGTTTATAACCTAGGGTCTGTGAACTTGTTTTAAAAATATTTTGATAACTGTATTTCAATATAATTGGTTGCCTTTGTAATCCTGTGTTATTTTATTGAATGTATTTAAAAACATTATTCTGAGAAGGATCCAGGTCACCAGGCTGCCAAAGGGGTCTATGATGCAAAAAAGGTTAAGAACTTCTTTTCTATAGGGAAGAAATACTGCCTAAAAAATTTTCCCCAAGGAATTTATCTTAGGTATCAGCTTTCCCTTTCTCTTTCTTGGGGCTTGCTTTTTCCCCTGCTTCTGTATGGTGTCAAGATATTATCTTAAACCCATCTAAGCTCTAACCTTCTTAATATGTTTTTGCCTTACCTTAAGTAAATTGGGGTATCTGGGGTGTTCAGGGAGGACTATCGCCTCTGATGTGAGGACCTGCTGAGCCCTTTTCAGGGCTGCTCATCCATCTGTCCACCTGTCACCCAACTCTTCCCTGTGGCTCCAAGAAGCTGTAGGATGTGCAATAGTCATACTCCGGCAAAGCCACCTTGACAGATTCTGGAATAGATTGTGAGGCTGATGACTTTGTGCCAACTTTGCCTCACTTAAATCCAATTCATGTGCAAATCAAGTCATCGTCCCGTAAAGTCACTGGTCCTTTTCAAAAATGAAGGATGAACAAGTAAGATGGGCTTCTCAGGAATATTTACATTTTAATAGGCAGTTCCTTCAAACTGAAAATCTGGAGTGCATTGATTCCTTATTGGAATTAATCTCTAATGTTAGAATTCCACAAATAACATCAACAGACCCATTAGGGAAGTATATAGAAGTTTCATTAAAATCACACAATCCAAATGACATTGATTCAGAAGAATTCCAAATCCAAATAGCACTTTTCTGACTCCCCTATTTGAAAGTAATGGGTTAAACCCAAGTCGATGGCAGCTCCAAAAGTTCTGTGGTTGGACTCAGTGTTATTTAATTAGTATTTAATTGCCAAAGCACATGAACTTACTTGTAAGCATCATCCTTAAGCTTTAGAAAACATGCTTTAGATCCAAATTCTTTTAATGATCCTGGCATTTAAGGAGAAGGTACCAGAGCACACAACAAATACCCATGTGCTTTCCCCTAACTATAAGAGGATAAGAAACCAACACTTTTAACTGACATAAGGCAGATACCCAAAAGAAATCATTCAAGAAAATCTCCTTACTATAAAACTAAGCAGGGCACAAGGTGGGGCAGCAGATAAGAGTTTAGGCCTGGAGTCAGGAAGACAAGTTCTAATTTGACTTAGATGCTTAATAGCTGTGTGACTTTGGGCAAGTCATCTAACTTTCTTTTGCATCATCAATTTCTTCATCTGCAAAAAGGGAAAATAATAGCAGTTACCACCCAGGGTTGTTGTGAGGATCAAGAGAGACGATAATTTTAAACATTTAGTACAGTACTAGGCACATAATAAGCATGACATAAATGTTATATGATATGAGTGGAATGGAATATGATATAAATATGATATAAATGTTATACAATAGAAATGTTAGCTGTTATTACTTCTGCTTTTGTAAGTTTCAAAAAGATTTAAATTGGTAGACGAAGCATTTACTAAACACTTGCTATGTATCAGATTCTGTGCTAAGTGCTGAGGATTCAAGCGCAGACAAGCAAGACTGTCCTTACCCTCAAGAAGCTTACATTCTAATGAGGGAGCACAGCATATTGAGGGATGCTGGAAAGCAGGGGGAGAAGGGGAAGTGTACTGCCTCGGGCTGATGCAGAAAGTGAGGAGAAGAAGGTGTAGTCCAGAGAGAATCAAGGTAACAGTGAGATGAGGCGTGGCTGGGGTCCTTCCTGAAATTGTCATCTCGGAGAGTGAATCGATAAAAAGCAAAGGAGAACTTCTGATCAGGGGTTTCCCAGGAGGACAGTACAGTAGGTAGGGAGAAGGAGTTGAGATCCAGAAATTGTTTAGGTCAGTGTGAGCCTTCCAAAGTACCCTTTATCATCTATTATTTGGTTAATTGAGGCCCCAATCCATATTCACCTGCTATATCCAGATATTGGAACCCAAGTATCTTTTGAGTATTTACCTAACTGGACAATTTGCACATGAAGCGAAAATATGCATTAGGGGAGATCTTTGTCAAAAAGAAGGAAGGTGAGTGGGGATCTAAATAATTACCTTTATTCTTCTCAATAAGTTATGCAGTTTTTTGTTTGTAGAGGAGAGTGACTGTTGAACTGATGAACTGGTCCCAATTAGTGCAAACAATTAATTTTATGAAGTAGTCACATTTATTTGAATTTGCACTGTTTTAAGTTATAGTTATGTAAAATGTGGTAATTGATTCCAGCCCAGTGGAAACATGCAGTACAAATTCAAAAAGCACAATCACTTTACGGGATTCCTTATTTTAGCCACTTGAGATCTAGCTGTTCTTTGTGTTGTTCCCATCCTCAGACCACGGCATTATTCTAATGATGGTATGGACAACTTTTTACAAATGAGAGATACTGTTAGGGAAAGATAGGTGGTAAACATGGCCTTGCATGGGTAGGAATAGCTTAGGAAATTAGGGTCACAGAGGAACTACTATCTTGTTAGATCACTGAAGGTCTATTTTGTGGCCCTTTCGTGGAGTGTATATGGGATGATGGTGAGGACTGGAGAATGTCTTCCCACCTGCAAAACAGAGCTTCAGTTCTGCCACGACATAGGACCGTGCTTTGATACTTGGATGAATCCACAAGATCACTCGTGTGTCTGTTGCTGCTGTTGAGTCATTTCAGTTATGTCCGACTGTTCATGACCCTATTTGGGATTTTCTTGGCAACAATACTGGAGTGACTTGCCATTTCCTTCTCCAAGTCATTTTACAAATGAGAAAACTGAGGCAAACACAGTTCAGGGAA